TATGTAGTTTGGCAGTACTGTCCTTAATTACTATGCCAAAAATGAGCGCGATCTGTCAGACAGTTCGTTTACGCAGCTGTTGAAACCAGTTCCCCTCAGTAGTGCGTTGCGAAAAAACAATGGAAAAAAATATTGAACAAAGAGTTTGCATCAAATTTTGTGTTTCGAACGAAATTTCGTGTGCAGAATCGTTGCGAATGCTACAAAAGGCTTATGGGTAATCAGTTTTATCGAAAACTCAAGTTTATGAGTGGTACAAAGCCTTTCAGGACGGTCGTACGACCGTCGAAGACATGCCGCGTTCTGGACGACCTTCGGCCTCTACCACCGACGAAAACATTGAAAAGGCAAAGGAAATCGTGTTCCAAAATCCTCATGTGAGTGTTAGAGAGATAGCACGAGAGCTAGGCATCGGTCGTGAGAGCTATCCGCCGTAAACGGCCTCAATTGTGGAAGGATAATTCATGGATTTTTCATGACGATAATGCTCCCTCGCACCGAGCCAACATTATCAACGATTTTAAGGCCAAACATTCAATAAATACCATCAAACAGCCACCGTATTCACCTGATCTTGCACCGTGTGACTTTTTCCTGTTTCCCAAACTCAAATTACCACTCAGAGGAACGCGTTTTGAATCCATAGAAGACGAAAAACAGAATTCGCAGAGGGAACTCAAAGCCATACCGGAAAGCGCCAATAAAAATTTTTGATGATTGGAAGAAAACGTTGCAATTTGGTGTATCGCTTCTAAATGGAGCATATTTTGAAGGAGATAAAATAAATATTGATGAAGATTAAGAATTTTGCGTTTGTACATTGTGACCGGAAACTTTTCGGTCACAATGTAAGTCAATAATACGAAATTTTGTAGAAGAAGCGGAACCTTTTTATTCATGGAAAAATTATTGAAGAATAATGGAAAGAACAGTAAAGTAAATGGTACTTAAATTGGATAAATATATAAATGTATTCCCAAACTTATAAAGCAGGATCATATTTAAATAATATATGTTATATGTTTTTATGTATGAGTGATCAATATAAGAAATATATACCACGATTTAGATTACATCTAAGAATTGATATATATGTTTGGTAAGTACACAAATAATCAAGATGATATTGCTAGCAAAATATATTTTTTTAATATTTATGTTTTTGCTCACTGGTTTAATTAATTTTTTACACTTTTGTTTTAAAACTGGATTATATTATAACTCTAAACCATTAATATAAGGAAAGTTGAATGTTAAAAATAAAATTATGTTTTATGAGCAACTAATTATGCCTAAACTAATTTAATGGCTATATCTTTTATGGTAACATTGCTCCATCCACCACTAGAAAACTAAGAAACACTTATTAAAATATTGTATTGAAATGTTTGCTAAAAGCGCCGTGATATATCAGAAATAATGATATACATAAAGACTTAACAGTCGAGAGTGTGAAAAATTATATCAAAGACAGGACGCTGAAATGGTTTGATTCTGTGGTTGCTCACACTAGTTGAGAACTGCAATGTCTTAAAACATATGCATAATGTATACCATTAGGAAGATATGCTGAGCTACAAACTACACTTCAGTGAAACCGTCTGAATAATACATTACTACAATACAATGGATCTCTCGCTACTGTGAATCAGCGAAAAGGTCACTATTAATATTGAGTAAAAGTGCTTCGGGTAGTAACCCACGTTTCATCGAACAAAGATATAAAGGAGGTACAAAAAGGTTTAAATCTAACAAAGAAATAATAGAATTAGCATTCTTTAATTAATGCAAATTAATTAATCAAAATCAAATTTATTAAATATAAAATATAAAAATTTTATTTGGAATCTGATTTAAACTAGTAAACACGAGATTAAATGGTTAATTAATATAAAGATTGGGAACAAAAATGCTTCTTATATTTATATTGGAAGTAATTCAATTAACAAAGCATTTTACTAATTTTGGAGTCAGTTTAAAAAAATCATAAATATTACCTGATAGAACTAACTTAGAAAAAACTGCTATAAGAAATAATCCAATATAATATGAACTTGTTTGGGAAAATTTTATTTTTAACAGATTTTACTATAAAATTATAACTCGCGTATTTTTATGTATAACTGTCAAAAAATTAAGATATTTTAATAAAACTTAAGTTAATGAAACTAAAATAATTGCTCTCAAAAATTAATTAATTTCATACAAACCATTTATTTAATGGGACCTTACATTTATATACACAACAAAGTATCTTAACTGGCCTAACTAATCTAAAATCTGAAAAATTCAATTCAAAGAAGAGTTAAACCCTCTAGTTCTGGAAAATGCCTTAAGGTGGTTTATAATTAAACTGCTCTAATAGTGTCAATAGGGCACAATAGTTCTTAAGGTCGCTGTACATAATAATAATTATGTCAATAATCTATAAAATTAACGACTTAATGTATTGCGAAACTGCCAAATTTTGGTACTGAATTTGATAATCTTTATTTACAAATTTTTTTATTAAATTAATTTTTGACGCCACTTTTGACAAAAGAAACTATATTCTTAATATAAACTATTTTTTGCAATAGAGAGGTTTTAATCGAACCATAGTGAATTGTAATAACAAAAATTTTTTATTATTTTTAATTAATTGAATTTTTAGCTGAGCTTTAATTTAAACAAATATTGCTTATGTACTTTAAAACTATTTCAAATAATATTTAATACAAAAACAAAAATGGGAGTTAAATAAATAAGGAGTTAAACATAATGGATATTGATGGATATTTTCTTGATTAAATTAAAAATTATAATTTTGAATTAAGAATTAAGAATTTTCTCGGTATTATTACTTATCTATTAGTAAAACTTATATTCTTGACGCAATTTTTAAATAAAATAAATTTGTTCATTTACTTATATTAATTTCAGTTATTATTAGTATTATTTATTATTTTATTTATTATTATTTTATTTATTACTTATTTTATTTTCTTTTTATTAATCATTTTATTTGATTATTTATTTGTTTATTTTTGATTTAATAATAAAAAGTGAAAAACGTTATTGCTAACACTAAAATTTAAAAAGTAAAAGTAATGTGTGATATGACATTGAAAAAGTAATTTAACGACCTATTAAATTAAATTTAAATTATTTCCACTATTTTATCTATATTTTTTTTTTAATTTATTTATTATTATAGCTAACTTTATTAATTTTATAGGAAAATATTTACCTTTATCTCAATATTAAAAAAAAACGAATGATGCATTAAACCAATTCTCATTTTATTAATATTAATCCATTTTTTTAAATGAATTATATATTTATTGTTTTTATTTCAGTTTATTAATAACAGTCTTTAACTAGGGGCGCACAATAATTTTAACTATATAATTTCTCATTAATAATTATAAATTTTTCTTATTAAAAAACATGCAAATAATATTATGAAAAGTAATATTTATAAAATATTATTTAAATTATAATAACAACAAATTTCTTTTGTTGGTGTTAATAAATTTTTATTTCTGAGAAATTAAACCTAGTTTTACGAAAGAAGTGCTATGAACTGAAAACTAATTTAATTATAAATTATAATTATAAATAATAATTATAATTATAAATAATGTATAATTTTTTTTTTTTTGTATTTATTTTTAATAATCTGTTTCTTTATCTTATTACAATTTTTTTATTTGAATTTATGTATCGAATTTAAATATATATAGATATATATAGAGGCTTTTGCTCCACTGGAAGGACTGCAGTAATTATGAAAGTAGATATGTATAAGGATTAGCAACTAACTCAAGTATATTATGAAACAATTTTAAAACAGTTTTTAATATCTATATTTTTTTATATTTGTAATTAATTTCATTTTTTAAACAATGTTTTCTAACAGATTATTTGCGTAATAAAGTATTGCAACGTTGTTTTCTTTATAAAATTATTATTTATAAAATTAATTTAATTAATTTATTTTAAGAAATATTAAATATCTCAGTCATTTTTGTTTTCTAATTTTTATTATTGACTATTTTAATAGTATTGATTTATTAATATTATTTATTCATTTATTATTTATATATTTATTATTTTTATATATTATTATTAAAATTTTATTTTAGATTTTGTTAAGTATGATTATTTATTATTTAATATTGTTCATTTATTTTAAATAATAATTAAAGTTATCGTTATGTACTCGTTTATCTTAGTTATTTATAAATCTTTAATATTAATTTTAATGTTATTTATTTATTAATGATTTTTTTTTTCATTTATACTATGTATTTTATTTTATTTATTTATTTATTTTTTATTTTATTACAATTGATTTCCTTAAACTTAAAACTCGTGAAGAACTTTACAGAATCGGTTTGAATATTTATATATATGAATGTCTTAAAACAAAAAAGAGATTTAAATTTATTTGATAAATAAACTTAAGCAACAAAATAATAAATATGCCAAAATTTTCCCATGCCCCACTTGGAGAGAAGGACAGCATTAACTAAGTATGCTAAGTATATAAGTAAAATATATTATTTACAATAATATTAATCATAATGTATATGATACCAAAATGTAATTATTTAATGGCTTATATTATTATTATTCGAAACTGCATATATAATACTTGAAAAAAATTAAATACTTATATTTGAAGTTATGGGAAATGCTCATACTAAATTCCCAACGCTAGTCATAATTTACCACCGCCAGTAGTTAATTGACCACAGTATTGATGAATATACTGGGGTCAAATATATTCATATCGTTCTTATATACATACGCCTGAATTAAATTTTCATCGGTATGGGGAAAAAATATTTTATCAATAATGGCATTACTTGAATACTATAATTATAAATTCAATTTAAAACTAATTGAAGTAATAAAAGTATATTTTATACAAATAAATGTTATTGAATTAATAAAAATTATTATAATTTGTCATATGATAAATTAAAAAAAAAAAACATGAAAAAACCACTTACAATGGGAATGCGTATTTTTTGTTTTGCTGATATTTTGTTGCTGATTTATGCAAATTATTTCCCACAATTTGACTCCAAAGCCGGTGACGAAGTTCAAAAAACGTGCACTTTGCAATTGTAAACCTTTTAATTGTTTATAGAATAGTAAAAACTTATTATTCAACACTTTTTTACTACTTTGTTTGTTATTGTTACTTTTATTATATTTTTTTTTTTTAATCTTTTTTGTTTTGATTACGTTTGCGCGCTGTACTTTTTGCAACTTGAAACACTTGTAACATTTGTGGGTTCACTTCTTTTTTTTTTACTAGAAAGTGTTTAATAAATCATAATTTTCTCATTTTCCTAACATTCAAGCAAAAATTTATTAGGCATTTTAACACTTTTTTTTTATTAATTTTCGAGATTTTACTATATTTCTTGTTGTTGTATTTGTTTTAATTAATTTATGTTATGTTCGATATACGGCTCCACACCGTTTAGTTAAAATATTTGAACACACCACACTGAATCTGTGAATACAAGCGAAACGTTAAGTGAAAAAGAACCATACCAAAAGTTGGGTTCCACGCTTTTATTGGAACGCAACAATGAGAAAAATTTCAAAAAACAAAAAAAAAACAAAATAAATAAATAAAAACGTAGTAAAAATTAAAACAGTGGTAATGAGACTCTATAAAATCAGCAACGTCACGTCACCGATTCAGGCCAATTTAATATTTGAAGCAACACAACAAAAACAAAAATAGAAAAAATAAAAGTAAATTTTTATTTAAAAACCAAAAAACGTTATTTGTTTAATTTGATACGCAATATACCAAAACAAAAAAAAAACACTAAATTAAAATTATTTTGTTTAATTTTGTGTTTTGATTTAACTTTTGCACTCTTTGCGTTTATTTTGTTTTTTACATTTTTTAAAAAATTCACACGCTCTTTTTTGCCAATCAACGAGAAACAAATTTTTAAAAATTTTGCTCAGATTAATGAAGATCAAAAAAATATTTATTACAAAAAACAAAAAGTAAACTAAAATTTTTGCTAAAAATATAAAAACTTTTTTTGTGATTTTATTTTTTGTGCAACTACGACGTCTGAGACGTTGCTGCTTTACCCGTTTGCTTTCTTTCTTACTTTTGAACCGTTTTCTTTTCAATTAAATATTCGTTGCGATTATTATTTTTTCTATATATTTTGAAAATTCCTTATAGTTCACCGAAATAGAACTTGGTTCTGATAACTTTAGCTGTTAAATAATTTTTCTTTTTTATTTTGAAATTCTTAACACTCGACCTCGTGGCTTTTAACTAAAATCACTTTAGTACAGACCCCACTTGCTTAGTTGGATGCGAACAGACAACTGATTCGTCGCTTTTTCATTTCGATTTTCTAATCTGTCAGCGCGACCACTACTACCAGTGTACGCCGTACAGCGTACGGCGTAGCAGAGCGCACTTGAGCGAAATCAGCGTAACCAAAAATAAACGAACATTTGCAGTATATGCACGAGTGTGTATGTACACAAACCCGAACACACAGCAATAAGCAAAGCAAAAAAGCCGAATAAAAGAAACATATTTAATAAGCTACCATACTACTGGCTGTGCTTGCTTTTGCTTCTGCTTCTGCTCCCCACACCATCGCATTTAACATATCAACATCGTGCATGCACGAACTAGTGGTGTACCATTTTACTTTTCTGTTCTGTTCATGCCGAATTGCTCCACACGTACATTCCACAAGTGTGTTCATTCATTTTGTTACTGCTTTTCTTCTCCCATAGCATCCACTTTCTCAGCTGGTGGTGGAATTTGTACGAACACATAATAATGGGAGCACAAAGTATATTTATTGCTTGCTATTTGCACAATTTCATATTCTCAGCAGCCTCTTGGTTTGTGAGAAAAAAAAGCTCGTTCTTGTTGTTATTGTTTTTGATATTGTTGATTTGTTTTGTTTTGTTTTACTTTTTAATATAAAATTTTTTTTCGATTTCGATTTTGTATAAAAAACACTTTTGTTGCTTTGCTATTTTTATTCTAATGCGCAAATGTTTACGTTTTGCATAATTAAAATTATTGTTTATATAAAAAAAAAATAAAAAAATTTATTTTAGTACTTAACTGTATGCAAATCGTGGACATTTTCACAACATAAAATCTAATGTCAAATGTCTTAAAGCATTAAAAACTGCAAAACATTAAAATTATTTAAATTTATTATAATTAAAAATCTTTTAAACAAAAAAAAAATTTTTTTTCTCTGTTTTTAACCATAACTAAACATAAAATATGTGCAGTAATTTTTTTCGAAAAATTATTTAAGTTAAAAATTAAAAGTGAAAAACGTGGTTCTTTTAGATTTATTCTTGAGTAGTAAAACCTGAGGAACTTGATTCTTAAGTAAAAATTCAATCCAATAATATGTACACACATATACATATACATACATATACATATACATATACATATACATATAATAATATACACATAATTTTTGATATCCTATATACTCTCCACTAGTATCAGAATACACCTTAAATCAAATGGATAATCAAATTACTATATATATCTGAACATGGCAAGAGCGATTATCTTCCAATTCTGAACCTTGTTCGGTCAATTATATCTTCCCGACGTAGAACCGAACCACAACAAGTTTGGCTATATGTCCTAAACTCTAGTATAATGCAGAGGAACAAACAGTCAGAAGCACAATAGTAGCTTTTAGGTTAAACATCGGTTTATCATATGCGGATCTGAAGTATCAGAATATCCACTAGTATCAGAATATACCTTAAATCAAATGGATAATCAAAATACTATATAGCTTTTAAGTTAAACATCATATGCGGATCTGAAGTTTTCAATAAGATCGAGTTAATAAGTGGTTAATTGGTTAATTTTTGTCCTGTCCTTTTATAAAGCTGTGATCCCAACTGATACATTTCGATTTTTATTGATATAATACCTACAAATCTGACCTTTTGACCCTGCTAATTCCAATATAGAATATACATATTTATTAATATCCATGCTAGAAATCACCACCCAATCTTAAATTCTAGTAAACCTGAAAACGCGAAAAATAACCATTTTGTCATAGCGATGCTCTAAAATAAGTTCGACCAGAAAGCTCTTCTTAGCCAGGGATATTAATTAATAATAATAAATTAATAATTAAAATAGGTGAAGTACTTCAAGAAAAAATTTCGTTCCACGATCTTATTATGAAAATAATTTCTTATTATAAGAATAAGATACTATAAGAATCTGAATTTATATAAATGGTTAACTAAAATTACTATATCATCAATTTAATTTGTAGAAGAAGTTTGTTTAAACAGAAATATTGACAAAATGTGATTTCCGACTGAAATTACAATCGGCAGATGTTTACTTACAAATATTATTAAAAACTCTTCTCGCAATCTGATCTTCCGCGAATCTTTAATTGATTTCTAGCTAGCAGCTTCTCAAGTTTATCCCTTCTTTACAACAAATTTATATTGCAACATAGTTGTTAAAAACCTTGAACTACTCTTCAGCTTTAACCCTTTTCATCTTTTTAGACCTCTCCAAAAGTCTTCCCTTTTTTATAGCTGCGCATAGTAAAATTTTGTTGGCAATCGCCGAAACGGTAAGAATCCCATGAAGCAACCCGAACCAAGTAAATAAAATTAGATGCAGTCAATTATGAAATATGAAAAAAGCAAATGTGGATGAAAGAAATTCTTCCTAACTGATATGAAATCGTAAAAAAGTCCTCTCAGAACTTAATCGTAAACCGGCACAATTTCATTTTTTACGACTGCACAGCCAAAGTTGAATGGCAGCCGAGCATGACTGAAGCTGCAAGTGCAATGATCGGGAGATCATTAATGCTGTCCATGGTAGTTGAAGTGATGGAATCTTGTCGCCCAGACAAACGAACAAGTCAGACAAGAAAACAGGATCTGAGCACGCATGCGGGCACAACAGCCGCGGTTAGGATTCAACCGACAGAGTGAGTTTTTATTGATTTTCTTTTGATTTTTAAGTGTTTTAAATTAAATTTTATGTTTTATTTAAATTATGTTGTGTAAAGTGTTTTAATTAAATAATTTTTAAATTAATTTTTTTTTCTATTTAATTTAATCTATTTTTAAAATTATTATATACTCCAACTCCTGGTGGACTTAATTTGTTTTGAACCTTCTTAGTTATTACGGTGGGCATTTATTTCTAATAGAGCAAACGCCTTGTAATTACCGATTTATTTTTAAATTATGCGAAATACTTTAAATTTTATTAAAGAATATAAAAATATGTGGACCCATTCAAATAAACTTGGTGCAAAATTAATTTTTACACCTGATGTGTCTATTTTTAGAACTACTATGAAATCGTTACGAGGGTTGGAAGAAAAATTTTCCGCATAACGCCTTCCTGAAAATAAGTGATTTTAATAGATCACATTTTACGTTTAAAGTGAAAATCATAAAAATCTAGTTGGAATCAGCTATATAATTTTAAAAATATAAGCAACATAGAATATATAGCAGGTATCGTATACTATCATCCTTTTTTATATCTTATTGTGCTCTAGCACAATGGATAAGATATTATAATTCATCAAAACTATAAACTGTTTAGCATTAGTAGAAATCTCATCCAACAATATCATTGCTGAATCGAAAATATCTTAAATTCATACAACCATACGGTCTAGGATGAACATTTTTATAATAATATATAATAATAACATATATAATATGTTATATATATTATCTCTAATTACGGACTTTGTTGTCTAATAAAATATATGTTTTATTCTCTATTCAAATACCACAGTTTGTAGATAATAAATGAAAAGCATGCCCCCTAAGTAAAACGACTTCATATACAGTAAATAGCACTGATCAGACAAGGACTATCATATATAACCAGTCATAACTCTCAGAACCTGCTTTAGATATTGTTTATTGGTGCCCATTTCTAAGAGAGAAACATTATCTGAGAGAAGCAATATCGTTATTTAATTATAGTTGAAAAGAAGTTAAAATGCAGTGCAATCTTTTATCGATCCTAACGAACTTCCCGGCGAATAAACAATCAGTACAAGCCAAGAAGATTTTAAAAGTTCAAGCCGAACGATGCACGTCTTTAAAATGTAGAAAGAAATGTTTAATCCGTGGAAGAGTATCAAAACTCGACGACAAATAGATTTATGAAAGACTTCAATAACAATTATTTAGTCATCAAAGGAGAAGGTCAAGCGTGACAACGAAGTTATTTGTGGAAGACTATGTATATTGACCATTTAATCATTAAAGAAAACAGTGATAGTTCGATAACGAAATCATTTGCAGAAGACCTCAA